CTTCTTCTTCTTCTTCTTCTTCTTCTTCATCATCATCATCATCATCATCATCATCATCTTGCTTTTTTGGTGAAAGATGGATACACTCAGAATTTTTACAAATATAAGGGACAGAAATCCCATGCTTTTGACTACCAGATTTCTGCCTGAATTGGTGGCTGGCTTGATTCGTTTCTGCCCTTGCATGCCAACCTCAGGAAAATTGAGGAAGCCTGTGGTGCTCAGATGTGCCTGTGACAAGGCAAGGGGTTATGAGGGCTTCTGTTCTGAAGTGGGCGCTGCTTCCATTTAAAAAGGGCCTTTTTAGGGTGAGAGAAAAACGTTAAAAAAGTCAGGGTCGTTTCCCCCCTTCCTACACAATGCAGGCTACTACATGACGTGGATGCCGGTCATATGAGCTTCGTGGAGGAAGTGTTTGAGAATCAAGTGCGGCTTCCGGGTGGTCAGTGGATCCATATGGCCGAAGCCTACACAGATGTGGTGAGCAATGACCTCTTTGATGGCGATGGGTGGGGGGTTTTCCATGCCAGCTCCTTCCTCTGAGTCGCAAGCAAGAGCAGACAGGCGGACTTCATTGGATTCTCTTCTCTTTTTCCAGAATGGGGAGAAGATTTTGCCCAAGGAAGAAATCGAGTGTCCTCTAGGATGGAAATGGGAAGATGTGGAGTGGGACACAGATCTCAACCGAGCAGTTGATGAGAAAGGTATTTGCTTTCTTTTGGGATTGATGGACAAACAGTTGGGAAGAAGTCGTGGGACTTTGTTTTTGTACATGAGAACTGCAGCGAGATTACCGTATGCACAAAGATGGAACGATTCGGCACTACCCACCAGGGAGGAACGGTAGGGGGGAGACGATGGACCTTGCTGAGATGGTAAAATGGACTTCTTTGATCAGAGAAAAGACAGTATCTACATTCATTGTTGACTGGAAGCCCCTTAGAGACTTTTTGCATGAAACAGGGAAAAAAATGAACTTATGATTTACGGTTTTGATGATTAGACAGGATAGATTATAGAAAGAAGAGAGTTATATTGTAACCATAGAGTAAGAGGTAAATTTCACAGTATAATTGTACTTACAACTGCCGTAAAGAAGATCAGAAGCTACTTCTTTGTATCTTCTTTCTTTCTTTTCTATTTTCCTTTTCCTTTTCCCCCCCTTTCTTACCCTTTTAGCTTTCTCTTTGATTTCTTTCTTTTTCTTACTGTATATTAGTTTGTATTCATTTTTAAACTTCCTTTTTAAAAACATTTTAATAAAAATTAGATATTTATATATATATATAAAGAAAGGCATTTGCTGACCAGGATGGGCCTTCTGTGGTAGTCCTCCTTCTGTGGAAGGCAGCCCTGTTCCTCTTCCAGCCCCCTGGTTGGTGCCCATAACTTTGGATCCCCATTGCTCTAGGTGGGGCCACTCATTCATGTGCTACTCAGTCTTCCACCTTGTGACTCATGAAGTCCAGCGCTGTTCCCGAGGCTGACTGGTTTTCCCACATTCCCGTTTAAGAGATTCTTTCGTAGATGCACTTGTCCAGCTAGACCTTGCACAGCTGTTCCCTCGGGATGGCAAATCCGATTGGGTGACCGGCTGCCCCATATTTGTCATTTCTTGGCTCGGTCATAGTATCGGGGTGTCTGTGGGGAAGGGTCAAACCGTCTGGATGCCAGCTGCAACGGTGTGACGGAAGCATCACCTGTTTGCTGTGTGCATTGCAACGTGCATAAAAAATGGGGGGAGCTTCGGTGGGACCGTCATTTTGGGCCACCATTTTGATTTTTTGTTATCATATCCTGTGGACAGCCCTGCAGGGTGTGTAGTTAGGTAGCTCTGAATTCTGTCTGTTGGGGTTCTGTTAGTGGCAGGAAAATCCCTAATTTAAGGGAGCTATCTGGTCAGGAACGCAGAGACTGTAAAGATGTGACTCTTTATAATGGGTGGGGCAAAGGTGAGTGAGAAAAAAAAAGGGCCAGGGCTTCTGTTCTTGGGGGGCAACCCTCTAAAAGAGCATGAAGGTTTTGAAATAGGAGTGGGTATAAAATATGTACCTCTCTCCCACCACCTAGAGCAGCGTTCCTCAACCTTGGCAACTTTAAGATGTATGGACCAACTCCCAGAATTCCCCAGCCAGCAAGGCTGGCTGGGGAATTCTGGGAGTTGG